TTTTGTTCTTCAATCTAGTTGTGGAGGATGTTGCTTCACTGGCCCAAGTTGGCACCATCATTGCACTCTTCCTGGATGAGGCAGATCAGTCGCCGGCTTCTGGATGGCCGCTCACGGCGGCTGCTGGCCACTCACGCTGGCTGCTGGCTACACACGGTAGCCCATGGCAACCCACTGCAGCAGGGGCTGCAGCCTACACCGCCAGAGACTCACGGCAGCCCAGCTCCAGGTTGAGCTGTTGTTCACCATCTTAGCTGTAGAGGGCAGTGTCACTGGCCCTCATATGTGGGATCTGAACCTGGCCCTCTGGCATCCCAAGCCAGCTCTTAATCAACGTGCCACTCGGCCGGCCCTTTTCGTGAGACTTTTTACGTTCTTTTTGCCATATCTGCAAAACCTGGTTCATATTTTCTACCAAGGGCACATCTCAATTCAGACCTTCCGTATTGCCTGTGGCAATAGCCAGGTATGGCTCCCGTATTGGCCAGTACAGCCCTAAGGACAATTTCAGTTACATACACAAAGATGTGTCCTGCGTTTTGACATAGGATGCTTCCTACTGGAGGATGTGATCCACAGAGTTGGAGAAGCACCCCACAAACACAGGCAGGATGGGTGAGTCTCACCAAGTAGCAAAAGAAGTCAGACATGAAAGTGCACATGCTGCATCATTCCGTAAGTCAATGGCAGGCAGAACTGCTCCCTGCTGGCAGAAGTCAGGGGAGTGAGGGTCCCTGGGGGACTGGGTTAATGGTCACTGGGGTGGGGCATGAGTGAGCATGGGGGGAGCTGTGTGTTCTGTCCCTTGATCTGGTGCTGCGTACATAGGTTGTTTAGTTTGTAAAAACGTGTTGAACAGCCCATCATCAGATGAATGGATAAACACAATGTGGTTAGTTCATCCAATGGAATAGTATTCAGCCACACAAATGAATGATGTGGTGGTACATACCACAACACAGAGGAACTTTGAAAATATTAAGCTGAGGGCTGGCCGAGTGGCGCGTTGGGTAACAGTTGGCTTGGGACGCCAGCTCTGAGCAGCAGGGCCCCGGGTTCAGATCCCACATGAGGGCCAGTGACGCTGCGCCCTCTACAGCTAAGATGGTGAACAACAGCTCGACCTGGAGCTGGGCTGTCGTGAGTCGCCGGCGATGGTGTAGTCTGCAGTGGGGCTGCAGTGGGCTGCCATAAGCTACCGTGAGTGGCCGGCAGCCGGCGTGAGCTGCCATGAGCCGCCGTGAGCGGCTGTCTAGTGGCTGGCGACTGATCTACCTCACCCGGGAAGAGCGCAATGATAATACCAATATGGGCCAGTGAAGCAGTGTTCTCCACAACTAGACTGAAGAACAAAAGGACAGCAACTTGTCTGTTCCCCTCCCCTAATTCCCCAATAAAATCTTTTTTTTTTAAAGAAAATATTAAGCTGAGTGAAAGAAGCCAGACACAAAAGGACAAATATCTCATGATTCCATTTCTATGAAATATCCAGAATAGGTATCCAAAGAGCCAGAAAGTAGATTAGAGGTTGCCGGGGCCTGGAGGAGGTGAGAACGAGGAGTGACTGCTAATGAGCACGGGGTTTCTTTGCAGGGAGGATTAAAATGTTTTAGAGCTAAATAAAGGTGCTGGTTGCACAGCGCTATGAATGTACTAAATGCCACTGAATTGTTCAGTTTAAATGGTTACCGGTTAATTTTTTGTTACATGAACTTTGCCTCAGTAAGAAAGGGGGATAAGCATTGAGACAGACACTTACAATAGTATGCACTTTTCTGTATATATGTTATGCCTAGAAAAGAGTTTACTTTCTAAAGAGATTTATTTAAGCATGTGAGAAGCACTGCCTAAAATGTCCACCAACATTGCTTGCATCTGGTCACTCCCAGGGCAGAGCGGCCTGGGCAAGTCCACGATGGTGAACACGCTGTTCAAGTCCAAGGTGTGGAAGACCACCCCGCCAGGCCTGGTGGGGCCCATGCCCAAGACACTGCAGCTGCACTCGGTGACCCATGGTAAGTAAGCCCCACCCTCACCCTTCCTCCTACCCTGCCCCATCAGGATCCAATCTCAGCCCTCTCCGCTCTCCACAGTCATCGAGGAGAATGGTGTGAAACTCAAGCTGACCTTGACTGACACACCAGGCTTCGGGGACCAGATCAACAATGATAAGTGGTGGGTCCTCTGGAGTGGGGCTGAACCCTATTTGCCCTTGCCCCTGGACATCCCAGCCCTGGAACAACTTGACTGTGGTATCTTTGAGCCTGAGTTATTCATCTGTATAATGGGTGTACTCAACTCTCCCTCCAGGATTGAAGGGAGTCAAGTTATGTAAAGGTCTTAGCTTGCTGCCTGACACACAGTAAGCACTCAATAAAGGTTATGGTACAGCAGGGGTTAGAAACCCACACTCCGGAGTCAGGACCCCTGGGTTAGACCCCTTTCTAGCTGCAGGGACTGGTCAAGGAAGCAATCTGAGCCTTGGTTTCTTTCTTTGTAGCTTGGGGATGATGACACCCGCCTTGCAGAGTTGTTCTAGACTCTCAATGAGACAGACACACACACACACACACACACACACACACACACAAATAAAATCAGGAGTGTCTGCATAATTTGCAGGCCCCTTGTTCAAAAATTACCAAGAAATATAAGACCACAATCACAGAACATTCAGCCAAGCGTGGGCCTTTCTAAACACAGAGACATTTGCAGTCCTGGACAGCCAGCCCTGCACACGATGCTTGTTTGAGCACTTACTATGTGCAAGCTCTGTTCTAGACCTCGGGACACAGCAACTACCAAAACAGATGAACATCCTTGCCTACATGGAATCTACATTGTCACAGGGGTGAGGGACAGGCAATGAACAGTGAGCTTAAATTCTATCATCCAAATAGGACCTTCCTGAGAGCTAAAGGGGTATGGAGCTGTAAGGGAGTTGCAATTTGAAGCAGTGATCAAGAAAGACCTCCCAGAAAAGGCGACACTGGGACACAGACTTCCAGGAGATGAGAGAATGAGCCATGTAGACATGCGGGGAAGAGTGTTCAAGGCTGAGGGTGCGTGTGCAAAGGCCCTGAGGTGGGCAGGCTGGTGTGGCTGGCAGGGCAGGAGCAACGGGGAGAGCAGAGGAGAGAGCAGGCAGGACGCAACGGTGGGTGGCGTAGGACTTTGTAGGGCCATGTAAGGCCTTTTCCTCAGCCCCGGAGGCTGAGCAGAAAGGAATGGATCTGACTCCTGTGTTTAGAAAGATCTCTTAGCTGCCGTTGACATTAGTGCACAGAGGGAAGGGGCCCAGGGAGAGGAGTGAGGAGATCCTTTGCCACAATCCAGCAAGAGTCCATGGTGGTTTGAACCAGGCCAGTGGCAATTTCTCTCGTTTAATGCTCACTCCCCCCACCAAAGTAAGTGCTCTTATTGCCCCCACTTTCCAGACAAGGAAGATGAGGCCTCAGCTTGAGAATGGCAGGGGCCTCGCTGATGATTGATGATACAGAGGACTGGAGGGTGGAGGGAGAGTGCACTTGAGTGCCCAAGCCCCTCAGGTTGTGCAAGGCCAGAGGTCCTGCTTCCCAGGCGAACCAGAGTGAGTGGTCATCCCCTAGGGAGACCACTCAGAGGACCCAGGGAGGCAGGCGGGGCTCCCGGGCATGGTCCTGAGGTCAGGTCCATCTCCCATCCCAGCTGGGACCCTATCCTGGGCTACATCAATGAACAGTACGAGCGATACCTGCAGGAGGAGATCCTTATCACCCGCAAACGCCACATCCCCGACACCCGGGTGCACTGCTGTGTGTACTTCGTGCCGCCTACTGGGCACTGGTGAGGTGGCTGGGCCGGCGGGGCCGAGAGGAGGAGGGGGAATAGAATGAGGAGGGGTCCCCCGCATGGGTGGTGGGCTGGCACCCCCTCACGCACACACACGCGGCTGCTGCCACTGCCGTCACTGCCCCACCTGAGCAGCCTGAGGCCCCTGGACATTGAGTTCCTGCGGCGGCTGTGCCAGACTGTGAACGTGGTGCCCGTGATCGCCCGGGCCGACAGCCTGACCATCGAGGAGCGAGAGACCTTCAGGCGCAGGGTGATCTGGGTGCCCAGGGCCAGGCTGGGGTCGGGGAGAGTGGGGAGGGGGCAGACTGCAGAGGGTGAGCTGAGGTCACCTGCATGTGGTCCCCAGATCCAGCACAACCTGAAGACTCACTGCATCGATGTGTACCCACAGCAGAGCTTTGATGAGGACGTCAATGACAGGATCCTCAACAGCAAAATCCGGGTAGGAGGCCGCGGGGGGCAGGGAGGCTGGCAGTACCAAGGCTGGCTGGTTGTCTTTCCACCCTTTTTTTCCATCTGAAGATTACGTCCAGGGGCAAGTTCATGTATTTCTAGCAGGTATGAATCTCCATCCATCCAAACACTTCAGGTAAGCAAGAAATAAGTCACATCAACAACCCACAGAATGGGAGAAAATGTTTTCAAATGATATATCTGATAAGGGACTTGTATCCTGATACTATAAAGTACACTTACAAACCAACAGTAAAAGACAACCCAATTTAAAAATGGGCGAAGGGGGCCGGCCGAGTGGCGCATTGGTTAAGAGCTGGCTTGGGACACCAGAGAGCCCCGGTTCGGATCCCACATATGAGGCCCAGTGACACTGCCCTCTACAGCTAAGATGCTGAACAACAGCTCAACCTGGAGCTGGGCTGCNTCTCTCTCTCTCTCTCTCTCTGTCCCCCATGGGTCTGGCCCCTGGGCTTTGCTGGGGGAGTGTCTGAGCAGAGAGCCTGCCTGGACGATGAGTGGGGCAGGAGTGGAAGCTGGGGTCCAGGAGGAAAGATCTCTTGGGCTGGTGCATCTCAGGGTGGGGGTTCAGCCTCCCCCCAGAGGCAACTTCCCCAGGCATCTCTCACCAAACCCCTTGGGCCATGGGGACTTGGGGATAGATCAGAAGGCATAATGTGTAGGAGTGTCTGGAAGCAGGACTTAGAAGTCAGGGTTCAGGAATGAGAATTCAGGTGGTCTCCCTCTGGAGCCCACTGATACCCTTCTTTCCACCCTACCTGGATGACAGGCATCCCATGGACCCCCTGAGGCGGTCCCCCTCCCCCAGCTCATCTCAGCCCTCCAGCCCCGGGAGCCCGCCCTGCGGGATGCTTGGTTATGTGGGCATCGAGGCTGTGCTGGACCAACTGAAGATCAAGGCCATGAAGATGGGATTTGAGTTCAACATCATGATGGTGGGTGAGTGAAGGGCGGGGGCTCATAAGAGGACAGAACAATGGGCACGACCCTCATGGACCAGGGCATGTCGCCTCACCTCTTGGGACCTCAGTCTCCCCATCTGTTAAGTGGGCCTATAAAAGTACCTCAGAGGTATTGTAGTAAAAAATCTGGGAAACGGTTGTTAAAGGACAGAAATCACCCATGAAGCCCCAGCCAAACGCAAACAGAACAATAAGAGTGGAGGCCAATGCAGAAAGTGGTAAAAATCTCCATTCAGATCCTGGTCCCAGCTCTGAACCCAACAACCAGTGTGCGATATTGGGTGTGGTGCCTGACTCCTCTCTGACTCAGTTTCCTCATCTGGCTTAGCACAGGGCTTAGCATTTAGTAGGTTCCCCATGGGTCAGTTTATCTGGAATTGCATAATTAAATCTGCACCATATGCAAAATTAATTTTGTAGGTCAAAACTATTAAGAAAACAAACTAGATACAACAGGACACGAAATATTGGAGTGTATAGCACAAATTAAAGGTATTATTCTAAAGCAGCACTGTCCAACAGAAATACGTTGAGTTGTTGGAAAAGTCATGACGTATTTTTTCTCTGTTTTTCATTGCAAAAATGTGTCATGACTTTTCCGATAACCCAATAGCATGAGACACATCTGTAATTTTTAAATTTCCCAGTTAGCCACCTTTAAAAAAATGAAACAGGTGAAAGTAATTTTGATAATTTATTTTACTTAACCCAATATATTTTCAAATGCTACCATCTCAACATGTAATCCATATAAAAAATTATTTGTGAGGCTTTTTTTTTTAAGATTTTTATTGGGGAATTGGGGGATGGGAACAGCTCTGGGGAATTATGGGAAGGGGAACAGACAAGTTGCTGTCCTTTTGTTCTTCAATCTAGTTGTGGAGGATGTTGCTTCACTGGCCCAAGTTGGCACCATCATTGCACT